ACAAAGAACTTAACTCCACAAGCTTTCCTGGCCAACACTACTCCAATACCCCAGCCACTAACGGCTGCTGCATCTTCGATTCAACAACCGAATCTCGATCAACTTCAGCAACAACTCCAAAGCATTCAACTTGTGGCTTCTCAACTTGGTTATCAATTAAACCCCCTTCCCACCCCACGGGCTCAAGCATATTATGGTTCTCGGTCCTTCAACAATAACCGAGGTGGTCGAGGATCTCGTGGTTCTTCTCGTGGCAACTCACGTAGTGGTTTCAATAATCTCCCTCGGGATAGCAATGGCTCCAGACAGTTTTCTTGGGCTTCAACCCACAACACAGTCTATGGCCATTGCAACAGGTGTGGCATAGGTCATCTACCGTCTCAGTGCCCAAATCAGCCGAACCAGTCTCATCCTATACCACAGGCCAATTTTACATCACTCTCAGAGGCTGGCTCATCTTCTGGTCCTACTTGGAAACCAGATACTGGTGCAACTCATCATGCCACACCAGACCTATCTAGCATGGATAACTCAGAGGCCTACTACGGTAACGATTCTTTCCCATTTTTCACATTGGTTCATCCAAAATATACTCACCAAACAAAACCTTTACCCTAACCGACATTCTTCATGTTCCTCAACTAAAACAAAATCTCTTATCTGTTCAAAATTTTTGCCTTGATAACAATGTTTTCTTTGAATTTCACTCTTCTTATTTTGTTGTCAAGGACGARTCTACTCGCACTACCCTCCTTACGGGCCCCAGTGAACAGGGTTTATACTCCATTCGTCTTCCTCAACTCAAGTCTCTGCCCAAGGTTGCCTTCACTGCTGTTAAAGCTCCTTCGAACATTTGGCATCAGCGTTTAGGACATCCTCATGCTCAAGTTTTTCGTTCAATTGTTTCTTATTGTTCTTTACCCGTTTCGGACAAATTATCAAATACTTTATGTTCTTGTCAATTGGGAAAATATTCAAAGACATCTTTACCTGATTCCACTTTTCGTAGCAATAATATTTTAGATCTTGTTTACTATGATGTTTGGGGCCCTTCTCCCGCGCCATCTCTTGATGGTCATCGTTATTTTCTTTTATGTGTTGACCATTTCACACGTTATATGTGGATTTATCACTTAAATCAAAAATCTGATGTGTATACTGTGTTCACACAATTTATCACCATGACTGAACGCCAATTTAACACCAAATTAAAGTGTATTCAATCTGATTGGGGGGGAGAATTTCGGCCTCTCACCAATCTTTGTCGCAACCTTGGCATCATCGACAGAAGGTCTTGTCCTCACACCAGTGAGCAAAATGGTATTGTTGAACGCCGCCATCGTCATGTTGTAGAAACTGGTCTCACTCTCCTGGCTCAATCCAGTCTTCCTCAACGCTTCTGGTCCCCTGCATTTGAAACAGCTGTATACCTCATCAATCGTCTCCCTTCTCGTGTCTCCTCCAACAAATCTCCTTTTGAACAAGTCTTCAAACGCAAACCTGATTATTCCTTCTTACGAGTCTTTGGTTGTCAATGCTTCCCTTATCTTCGTCAATACAATCATCACAAAATTGAATTCCGGTCCACTCCCTGCGTYTTTCTTGGTTACAGCACCGTTCACCACGGCTATCGCTGTTTTGACCCGTCTAATGACCGGATTTATATTGTCCGACATGTTCGCTTCAACGAACATGTGTTTCCCTACCAGCCTTCACCAACCCCACCACCACCATCCACTCCTCCTTACATCTCTATATTTCCTAACCCACCACCCGGTTTCCCACCCGAGCCTCCACAATCGCCTCCACCACCACCCCCTCCTCAATCTCCTCCTCACGAACCTCCCCAATCGTCTCCACAATCTTCACCATCACCACCTATTCCACCTCCTTCTGATGCCTTCCCGCCCGAACTTACCCATACTCCTCCAACCGTCTCTCGACCTCGGCCTTCCAACCTTCGCCCCAATCCCAAACAACCTGACCGATATAACCCAGCCGCTTACTCTGCCACCGCTTCCTCACCTCTACCTCTTGAACCCACCAATTTTACCGTTGCTAACAAGTTTTTAGAATGGCGCCAAGCAATGGCTGATGAGTTGGCTGCGCTTCATAGGAATGGCACGTGGACACTTGTGCCCCCTGTTCCTAATGCTAATGTTGTTAATTGTAAATGCATTTACCGGTTAAAAATTGATGAAAATGGAAAGATTACCAGGTACAAATCCCGCCTTGTGGCCAAAGGTTTTCACCAACAGCATGGCGTGGATTATCATGAGACTTTCAGCCCTGTTATCAAGCCTGTCACTATCCACACTGTCCTGTCTCTTGCTGTCACCAACAAATGGCCTCTCAGACAGTTGGACATTCAGACTGCATTTCTGCATGGTGATCTCAAGGAAACTTTTTACATGCGTCAACCTCCTGGCTTCATTGATCAAGTATTGTTACCAGATGATAGCCCATTACTCGATGATCCCTCTCGCTATAGACAGACCGTCGGGGCTCTTCAGTATGCTACCCTTTCTCGTCCTGATATCGCCTTTGCAGTCAATAAAGTTTGCCAGTTCATGCATGCTCCGACTGAAAATCATTGGGCCGGAGTAAAACGGATCTTACGTTACCTC